TCAAATAAGAATTTGTACATATTTTACACCATGTTAATGCTGGTTGTTTTGTTACAAGATTTTTCGGCTTTAAGTTTCTATTGCAGGCCTTTTTGCTTGAAATATGATGGTTGTTCTGACTGGTGCTGTACCAAACTAAGAGTCTTCGCTTCAAGATGTCAAACAGCAAATATTGACTGACAATTGGATCTCATTCGCGAAACTCTTCACAATATCAGAACTTGTGTATGTGTGCAGTTTTGTGCGCGTTTTTGTAATTCTGTCAGAAGCAGTTATATCATAACGTTATCCTGCAGAGTGAACTTTGGCTAGCACCAGTGATTGTAAATAAGATATAAACAGTTGTTATAGACAATATTTCTAGAATATGTGTTTAATTTCCGGAACTTTTCAGTCTACGGTCTACGTCATATTTGTACAAAGAATTATGAACTTTGAGTACAGTTTGTTGATTGCATTATATATATTTCATCATTGTCGCTCAGTTTCCGTCATTCGGGGGTGATCAGTTAAATTAAGCTAAATAATAAGTATCAAATTCAAAGGGTAATGTTTTAATAATAGCTTAGCCTTCATTGTGGTCGTGAGCACGGTCTTTATCTCTTTCTGTTGGTATTTTGATACGTTACCGGAAGGGGAGGAAGGCCGTGCTTGGGACTCTTATGTAATTACGTATACAATGCAAGGAGTTGTTATTGCCTGTACAGTACTGTATTGCTGTTTAAGTATTTGCATTTGGTATAACCTTCTAAAACTGCTAATTAAGGTCGACTCGTGTCGCTTCGAGTCACTAAGTCTGGCCCTTATAGTACTTGGTAAGACTTAGATTGCGTTGCATTGCATAGCAGTTGTTGAGGTTATTTTGGCACAGTAATTAGTACCTCTTTCGCACATTCACAAGTCTAACTGCATGTTCATAGTTTTTCTTCTCTTCACGTTGGTAGTGGTTTCCATTACGTTACCGTGGGGAGCTGAGATCTATGATCATGTAGTTGGATAGACTCTAGAGGTAATGCGTTGGTGTGTAGCTATTTGCTGGCTTGAGTTGCTCAAAGCCATTGCGTTGCATTAGTTTTATTTAGCTTGGGTTTGCTTCAAATCTTTGCATTGCATTTTTGTGTTTATAAAGTTTTGGTATTGCAACTTGCTGATAACGCCTGATCACCTTCGATTGATATAACTTCTTGTGGTAGGAGCATCTAAGCCTTAACCTACCATAAGTGAGCGGCCAATACACGCCAGCCTTATATAAATACTTAATGATCAATTATTTGATATATCATGTCATGTGAATTTTATATAAGCAGACGCGTCGTAAAATAAAAACTGAGAATGTTGTATGTTCTTTATTATTTTATTTTGAATAGTCTTAAATAAACGGTTATTTGCAATATAACCCAAGTTTCAAGCCTCAAAAAGGTTCTTGATAGGTTATATGCCATATATAAACTGTTATTTGCAATATAACCCAAGTTTCAAGCCTCAAAAAGCTGTATATATAGGGCCATATAACCTGTCTATTACTAATCCTATATATAATCATGTGTAATTAGCCTAGGAAATTTAATTTGTTTACATTTATCCACAATAAACGTATTGCACCGTGGATACAGAGTTTATAGAATGAGTGTAGGTTCAATACTGAATTTATGGAACAAGTTGAATAAAATTATATTATGCAAGCCTCTAATTTTATTCAACAAGTTTAATAAATTCAGAAATGAACTAACACGATTAATATGATATTCTATTTATCACACATTCACAAAATAAAGACTGTTTAAAGTGAAAAAGAATCATTTTTTCATTGACGCACCCAAAGTTTAACGCTAACATGTACACTATATATATTGTTTGTATAGTGCGAATGACGTCACATCAAAATATATGCCTGGCCATGCAATATCGTTTTTTTTTAATGCCTTGTAGAATATCAATGCATAGATTACCGTTCAAATGCTTTGTAACTATAATGCACTCAAAAATTGTTTTCTATTTCCTAATAAAAATATAATGCTTCTTACACGTATATAGAGCTGTCATTGAATCAATGACAGCACTGAATCAGATTCAGTGCAAAGCAAATCAACGATGTACCTGCCCTAGCAGACAACAGATATCGACAATACACTGATATATCCATAATACAACGATATATCCATAATACAACGATATATCAATATTGATATATCGGTTGATAAACTGAAATATCCGATATAGACCGATATATCAATATATATTACTTTGTATGTAGATTACTTGTCTGTAATTCTTTTTTTTACCTGTTTAAATGCTTTCAGTAAAAAAAACCATCTTCTTTTCATACATATGTCTTGTGTTTATAAATGCCCATTTCATGATTATTGCTGACTATTTTTTGTCATCATTGCTATGAAATATCGTATGATTTTGCATGTCTTTTGGGTGAATTTTGTGTAATTTCTTAACATTTAATTAATAAGTCAAAATTATTTTCTAAAATGTGTATTGATTTTTGATCGACAGAAAAAAATCATACTTCAAACTAACAGAAAGTTTGCTTTTTTTCTGTTATTTTTGTCACTGACATTTGAAAACGGAGTTTAAAATTCAAGTTAGCCCCCCCCCCAAAAAAAACTGTAAAAGAATGAATTATCTTATAACATTGTATAAGGCAATATAGACAGGTATATTCACAAACAGACATAAATAAATTTCAGATTATATCGATATTTGAAAATATGTATCTCAATGTCTATTCTAGGATCTGAAAAACAAGGGGGGACGGGGGGGGGGGGGATTTTTTATCAAAAAAATGAAAAATTATCACATTTGTTGATTTCTTTCCTTCTTTCTCTTTGTAAAATTTTCCCCCATGCCTCTGAAAAAAATAGGTGCGAATTTTAAAAAAGATGGGTGAATCCCCCCCCCCCCCAATCCACCCTCCTAAAATAGACACTGGTATCTAATACTATCTATATTTCATCGATGAATATCAATAATTATTATATGGATATCGCAATAGTCAATGACAGCTCTACATGTATACAGTTTCTAAAACTACAACAGTGACCTTACCATAATGTCAAATTTCACCGCTTCTTTCTCTGCCATCTGCGCAGTGCGTTCTTTATTCATGTAGGCCGACTTCAGTTTCGCCTCTAGCTCCCGCAACTCTAAACTGTAAGTTACCAAAATTTACTGATCATTAACTAATAGATATTTCGTACAATTCGTCACCTTAGTGCAATAATGTCTTTTTCGTAAGGGGAATTCTTATTTATTCAATTACTAATCATAACTATCAATTTAAGAATTTCAAATATACGGCGTTACATGTCAGAAAAGAATATTTTTAACTCGGAGTCACTCTTTTTGACGCGGAGATTCACGGAGTCTCGCGGACAATATTGTCACTCGTTTTTGTCTCGGAGTCACTCTTTTACACCCGAGAAATTTATAATCTACTCGGAGTCACGCTTTTTGAGATTACTGTTTGCTATCAGTTTCTCTACTTAAAATAGGGTTGGTAAGCGAACAGCATGGATCCTGATCAGACTGCGTGGGTGCCCAGGCTGGTCTGGATCCATGCAGGTGGCAAACCCATAACGTTGGTTTTGTCATGACACGCTCATATGATACCTTTCTGTGTTTGCTTTAAAGTAAATAGAGGACATTGAATGAGTGTTAGTTCAATACTGAATTTATTGAACGAGTTAAATAAAGTTATATTGTGCAAGCCCCTGGCGATTTCAATAAATTCAGTATTCTGTGAACTTGCAAGACTATAATATTCTATTTATTACTACAAATTCTGTATAAACTAAATGGATTACTTCTTCCATTAAAGCTTTAAAGGGCACATTATGCCTAAGAAACAAATTAATTTTTACTTCTTTAGAAAGGTCAAACATGATTTCATAAAATGTCAACGACATGCACAACTATACATAGTACTGATTATTCCAGCGCTTTTTTTCTCTACTTTGGGAATGGTGCCAGTACCAGACTGATTGGGAAAAAAATGCATTATTTTGACTTGAATTGGGATTTTTTTTAATGTATATTTTTCAGCTACAAATAAGATTAGTCATCATAAATAAAGATACTAGCTAACAGCCTTCACTGTCCAGGTAGAACTATTGTGTGGTGATTTAATTGAATATGTTCGATTTAAATGATTTCAGAGAAATCACTTGGCCTTGTGGACATTTTGAACAACCATTTTGGGAATTTAAACATTCAAAATTGGGAATTTTAATGTCTATTTTGCATTGGAAACAGTACCGTTTTAGGGTAGTAGTTATATAAAGAGAAAAAAAACACTGTTAATTCCTGTAAACCTCGGATGTATTTGCACCAGTAGTTTCAGAGGAGTAGTCCAGACAAATTTTGTGACAGACAGACGGACATGCAACCGAAATGAGATAAAGGGCCATTTCTATCGTCATATAGAGGGCCATTGACCCCTTCCTCCTTTGTTACGGAATGAACTCTATTGTTCTCTTTTATTCTGTTTACAGTTAGTTGGCTCCCTATCCCTATTTGGATAAAGAAATGATCCCTTATTTGTTGCTCAGCTAACCTGTAGCAGGCAACACAAAAATAGCCATATTACGGTAACTGCATTAGTCCTTGAACAGTAGTAACTGTATGCTGATTAATAGTGCAAAATCTTTTATCTATCATATATAACATGTAAATTATTACTTGAATCTTGGAATCTTTTTACTTTTCTTACAGTCTTGGTACATTAAATTTTGTTTGAAGTTTGAATTTCTTGAAAGATTTTGGCTCATCTGGAGGCGTGCAGTTTTTAAGGGCTACATGCAGTATTTAACTACAAAACAGGAAACGGAAAACACCATTTGAATCATAAAACGGTACTGTTCCCAATAGAAAATATACATTAAAATTCCCAATTTCTAATGTTTTGATTTTCAAAATGGCTGTTCAAAATTCCCACAAGGCCAAGTGATTTCTCTGAAATCATTTAAATTCAAAATATTCATATAAATCACCACTCAATAGTTCTACCTGGATAATGGAAGCTTTAGCTATCTTTATTCATGATGACTAATCTTATTTGTAGCTGAAAAATGCATAAAAAAAATTTCCCCCAATTTCAAAATTACGCATTTTTTTTCCCAATCAGTCTGGTATCAGCACCATTCCAAAAGTAGAGAGAAAATATGTACCTTGTCTCTCTAATTTGTTGCCTCATTTTTTCGTCCCTAATCCCGTCCAGCTTCCTACGCTCGAGTTCTTGTGCCAACCTCTCCTCTTGAGCCATTTGTTCTTCACGTTGTATCCTATCCCTTTGGGCCTTTAAGGAAATAAAAATAATGCTTTTCAAAAAGAAAAAAAAAAATGGGCCTTTAAAGAAAAAAAAAATTGGCCCCTTTTAAAAAAAAAAAAAAAAAAAAAAAAAAAAAATGGCCTTAAAAAAAAAAGAAAAGAAAAAAAAAAAGAAGCAAAACAAATCAGGTAACTTAATTGTGTGATAAACTTAAATTTTAACACGAGTCAAAATAAAAACCCTGTCTTATAAGTGGTCCGTCTAAAAGGTGAGTAAATAGGGGCGTCCGTGGCCCAGTGGTTAAGGTTGTTGACTTCAAACCACTTGCCCCTCACCGCTGTGGGTTCGAATCCCGACAGGGACTGCGGACTCTTTCATGTGAGGAAGCTATCCAGCTAGCTTAGGGAACGTCGGTGGTTCTACTCAGGTGCCCATTTGTGCCTGAAATAATGCATAGAAGGGCACCTGAGGTCTTCCTCCTCCAGTAATGCTAGAACGTCGCGATATGACCTATACTGTGTCGGTGCGAAATAAAACCCAATCAAACAAACAAACAGGTGAGTAAATACGGTAACTTGAGTCTTAACTTGGGTCTTAACTTGGGTCTTAACTTTGGTCTTATTTTGAGACTTAACTTGAGTCTTAACTTGAGTCTTAACAAGAGTCTAAACTTGGGTCTTAACTTGAGTCTTAACTTAGGTCTTAACTTGAGTCTTCACATGGGTCTTAACTTGAGTCTAAACTTTTGTCTTAACTTGGGTCTTAACTTAGGTCTTAACTCGAGTCTTAACGTCTTAACTTGAGTCTTAACTTGGGTCTTAACTTGAGTCTTTACTTGGGTCTTAACTTGGGTCTTAGCTTTGGTCTTAACTTGGGACTTAACTTGAGTCTTAACTTGGGTCTTAGCTTTTGTCTTAACTTGGGTCTTAACTTGAGTCTTAACTTGAGTAATATTTGTCCTACTTCATGTACAGAGTCAATCAAACAGAGTCTCCAATTTTCTTGTCATGTTGTTACTATTGAAGCTTCGGTGATTACACTTTTTTAAAGATCTTGAATATATGAAGTGGCACTAACAATGTAGCGATGCCAGGCCATAGGTCATTTTCGCCCTGTCACAGAGCAGTCCAAGGTCATAAATCTGCCCAGTCACCAGAGCAGTCGAAGGCCATTTTCGCACTGTCACAATAGACTAATCTAAGGCCCCATTCCAAATCCAAATTTACCTTCTGGCAGAATTTGGTCACTCATTAAAGTGAGTGCATTGTGATTCAAATAAAGTTTAAAAAACTCAGAAAAAATAAATTACCTTAAGAATGGTTTCTCCCATTTCCCGCTCTTTATGTTCCTGCATTTGTGTCCTTAGAAACCGTTTACTATCAAGTCGCTCTTCACGATTCATGTTGGACTCGAGCATTTTTTCCCGAGCCAAGTTACGAACGGTCTCCTCTCGAACGTTTTCCTGCCTGCGGGAATTCTCTAACTGCCGCTCCCTCTGTGCCACAGTTTGTAGGGGAGCTCTACGCATCATTGCCTGAAATATTGCAAAAGGAGATCATTATACTCGAGGCAGATCCAGGTCCTGGGGGGGGGGGGGGTGACCCATTTCCCCTTTCAGTGATTTTCCTACTTGTATAACAGACTCTAAAAAAAAGGCCTCTTCCCAATTGAAATTTTCTTTAAAATCATTCAGTTTTCCCAAAAATCTGAACTTAAACCAGCTTTTTTACTTCCCAAATCAGCAATTTTAGCGATAATTTTTCCCAAAATCAAGAGGCTAAGGCCTCTTCCCAATAAAGTAAGAAAAATCACTGCCTTTAAGGTAGAACGCCCCTAATGGGCACTATCAGGAACTGTAAAATTGACAAAATAGGAGAGTTATACGCCTTAATTGTCATCTGTATGCAAAATTTAAACAAAACTCACCGTGTGGTTTATGAGTTGTGGACATTTATCTGAACTAAAACTTTGTCACTTAAGAAGGGCTTTTTTTCAGAAATGAGGAAACTCTAAATAATAGGAATCCTTGAAGGTCAAGTTCACCATTGACACAAAAATACATTTTTACACTATTACATGCGTAACCTTTTCCTTTTGACAGATATTATTTGTATTTGGTAGGAAAATGGTACATTCATCTGGAAAAAATATTTTCAGTCCCATTATGTCATCATTCTATTTATAGGTACAGCAATACATTATAACTAAAAAAAAAAAACCCAAGATTAATTCAGGGATAAGATAATTTCATTTGAATATGTTTGCATTGCGAAATTCTCCAGTTCGCTATTCATTGCACATTATATAATTGCGACATTTCATTTTGATAATCAAACAACCTCATACCAATGGGAATGATCGGCTATTATGACCGGCGAAAAGGTCCGAGAAGTTGCTGTCGCCCTTTCAAATATCTGATTTCATTTCATAAGGGGTATTGCGCTTCCGCGCGGATGCCAATGACACTTTCGGCAATTTTTGGTATAACCCTATAGTATTAGTTACTAGCAGCTGCTAAAATGTAAATACCATGATATCATAGAACCCGGATATCATAGGACAGGGCCCTCGATCAACCAAATCTACGGCCGATATTCGGCCGCAGTCCCCCACCAAAATAATATGTTTTTTTCCCCCTAACAGAGGTAAAAATTCCCCCTCAAAACATATAAAGTGTTAAAGAGAAAAATGAAAACTAATGTTGTTTTTGAAAATGAAAATCCATCTATTTGACGTCTATTTTGTAATCGGAATATCGTACAGTACATGTCTGCACGTTTCCGTTTGATTTTTCCCCCAAAATCTACTGTCACATATTGGCCTTTCATCCTGTAAAAATGCTAAAATTTCAACAGAAATATGCAGAAAAAATTAACAATTCCCATCAACAATTCGATTTCAAATTGTTTATTCATGAAATCATTTTTTTTGTCTTCAAAATGTTACATCAACCACGGTAAATTTTGCCGTGAATTACAAACTTGTAAGTTTTGTTTTCATGATACTTTATTAAATATTGGGTGAAAAACAATCTTATAATAAACAATCAATTTAATTTTATATAATTTACCTCAGAAACAACTAGAACTGTGGATGTGTTAACAGAAAACAAACAAATTTTCATTTGTCACATATTTTCGCGATGCCGATTTTTACGAATGTTTTACAAAGTCAAGAAAAGGAAGCTTTGTCTTATTAAAAGGTGTGTTAGAACACTAGAAATGTAGTGTATGAATAGAATTTACTTTAGGTCCATGTATTGTTCATATTAGTGGAAATGGAGACATTTAATTGTCTGAATGTGTTTCTAAATGCTTTTTTTTTTGGGGGGGGGGGGGAATCATAAAGAAAGTTAAGCAGCATAAAGATCTGATGGTGTAAGGTGTTAAAAACTTTTCTTCAGATCTTATCAATCACTTCTGAACAGTTTAGTGTTACCTATTACGGATTTTTAAAAAAAATAATATGCATGTAAATAAAAAAACAGCTGGTATTTAAATAAGTGTATTTGATCATAAAAGAAAAGAGGAAAACTCCCCACATTCACTAAAATTCCCCCTGCTGAGGGTAGCGACCCGCTTCCCCCAAATTGGATTGAGGGCCCTGTAGGAACTGAAAATACCCCTACTGACATGCAAATAGTTCCCGTACAAAATTTGTAGTTACTTAAAAATTGTTTTTTATTATAATAATTACTCTTATTCACCAAAAACTTGATTGTTACACATCAATATTGGGCTTCAGGGATTTTTTTTGGCTTATTTTATAGCCGTTATTCGGTCATATTCCCAATTAAAAATAGTATATTATTTTCCCAATCCACAGTAAACAAAATCCCAATTGAAAGTTACAAAATAAAAATATTGAATAAAAATTCTAAAATCTTTGAAAGTTTAAGGGCTCCTTCACTGTAATAGTGCTTAAATGTTTGTAGATGCCATCCTAGACAGTATTTGTTTGCATCCATTAAATAATTGTAAAATTTCAGTCATGCATTTTTTCCCAATTTTTAACAAAACACCGCTGAAATTCCCAATACCATGGGTATGGGTCATGTTCCCAAAATCCTTAAAAAAATACCTGGGCTTGTTACACAAATTATGGAAATTTCATTATGTTCTAAACATAGAATCATAAGCCTTACTATAATATAAGGCCTGATATGGGGACCTCAGTGATTTTTATCACTTAATTGGGTAGAGGCCTGAGCCTTTGATTTTGGGAAAAATTACTAATTTGGGAAGTATAAAAGCAGGTTTAAGTTCAGATTTTTGGGAAAACTGCATGATTTTAAAGAAAATTTCAATTGGGAAGAGGCCTTTTTTCGAGGTCTGTTATATAAGTAGGAAAATCACTGGGGGTACTGTAACGTTTAGCCCATGATAGTATGAGTTACCGCCCTTTAATATAGTTACGCCATTTGTAAGAATCATTTGTATGTAATCAAACGGCAGGTAGCCCAAAGAAAAATTTATTATACATATCTAAATATTCGCTCGGTACACGTTACAGTACCGAAATTATACATTATTTTGTATGAAGAAAATTAGTTCCCGTACATAAAATATAACACATTATAATAATACAATGTTGTTATATCAGACTTATTTTTAATTTAATAATTCAACAATTATAAATTATAACTGTTGAAGAGACCATTTTCTCATACGTAAATATGTAATTCAGGATATAGAGAGCTAAGACTAAAGGCTGGTATCTATTTCCAAGTACCCCAATACATCCAAATGCAATGACATGCTTTTATACATGATATTTTACTCAATAAAGTCATAAAATTATTTAAAGATCCTGTATGTTGTGATCAAAGTGGTAAACCACACTAAGTGAAATTATATATGTGAACATAATTATGCAAATAAAACCATTTTCAAACATCAAAGAATATGTAAAATATGTACAGCAAATTTGTGTGCATATTTATAATAATATCATGTAATCATTAAAATATATGCATTCATTTCTTATTGTAAAATTTGACTTAAACTTTATAGAAAGTAGATTTTTTTATTACCTCCCTTTACTTTCATGACATGTTTAATTTGGTAATATCTTTAAAAATAATGCTTTTCGGAACCTACAGTACTGATAAATCTTAATTTGAGCATCATATTTATGATTTAAAACAATAAAAAAATTGAGTTACAGCATCTTTAATATAGAGTCAGTGTACCACAGTGACACAGTGAGGACCCGGTTCCACACTTTCCTATTTTTCATTTTTTCTTGAAAATTCAAATGAATTTACTGAGTTCTTGTTTGTGTTTCACTGAAACTGACAGGTTTTCAACAGGATATGACATCATCTGGGATTTTGCACCCCAGCCTCTCCCTGAAGAGTGCAGACGACAATGTAAATACAAAAACGTGGCTGTGTAGGTCACACATAAAATCATCTAATTCAGAAAGTAAACCATGCTATTTTTCAATGTTAAGATTATTATAAAAGATATATTTTAAAAGAAATTATATATTTTTGTTATTAAGGCAAATTTGCTGCTATTTATGAAATATATTCTCTCCTCCCAAATGTCAAGTTATTTCACCTTCATTTTTTGTTTAAAATGTTTAAAATAATATCAAACTCTTAATCAAAGAAAATTAGAACTAAATAGATGAAAAACTTTTAATAATAAATGAGCAGCGTCACGACAAAACCAGCAGAGTGCGTTTGCGACCAGCATGGATCTAGACCAGCCTGCGCATCCGCGCAATCTGATCAGGATCAATGCTGTTCGCTTGCAAACCCTATTACAAGTACAGAAACTGACAGCGAACAGCATGGATCCTGAACAGACTGCACGGATGCGCAGGCTGGTCTGGATCCATGCTGGTGGCAAACCCATTATGTTGGTTTTGCCATGACGTGGCTCAAATGTTAATGTCTGTGTTTACTATCTACAAGTATGTTTCCGTGATCTGGTCGTTTCTTGCAGCAGTGTTCTTGTTTGTTCAGCATGATGTTTTTGTTCTGTTGGAGACCTTTTATCTTATTATAGTATCCTTGTCTGCCCATGATTCGACACCCTAAGCTTTCAAATGTTATATAAACGATTAAAAAGAAAATTAATCAAAATAAAAATGTCTTACTTGTTAATTTATTTATAATTTTTTTCACATTATTCCATTATTAATTTTCTATAAAAGATTCAACGACCGATAAATCGTAGTAAATAAAGGTCATTGACCTTATAATCCGCCATTTTGAATGGTCCTTGAGTCGTCACCACGCACCTGCAACGCGCACTTGCTTAAAATATCACTTCCGGTAGCGTGTTTCTGAGGAATTTTCCATTCATTAAAATGTAAACAAAGCAGACAGTTAAAAACTTTTGATAAAAAATCTATAAAAAATGAAATAAAACAACATTTATGATTATATTCAGTTAGGATTATAAAAAATTGAATTATTATTTATTTTATCCTTAATTTACCGACTAGAACTTGTTGCTAAATAAAAATTGCCGATACATGAAATGTACACAGTAATATTGATTTTCTCATCCTTTTTGGTACTCCTAAAAAGATTCTGTGACGTAATAAAACATAGTGACGAATCAAGGGCAGGGTCGAATCTATGGCACTTGACGATATATAGCCCATATAAAACTTTAAAAAGTTTGTTTCAAGCACCTGTGCTTGGGGGTAGGGCTTGGTCCCACGCCGATAACCTATGCCAAAGTTTACATTCATAACTCTCAATTCAAATCTCTATATATTTTTAATAAGTTTGTCTCGATCAATAAGTCGTTGTTTCCTTGAGCAAGAAACTTTACACTCATTGCTCAGTACTGGTTGGTTCCAGGAACGGATTCGAAAGTGTGTTTATAAGCTAATAGCTGCCTACACAATCGAACTAAAATAAATTATGTACATGTAAAGTATAGGTTTTCGTTATAACTGAATATTCGAACAGTTAAAAAGTCAGTTTTTGACGATTAACATAATTGTTACAGAACCCGGCCAGTGTTGAAGTCGAAGTTAAACAATTCAATTTAGACTTAGTTAATTGTTTAAAAAAGCTATTAAATCATTGAACTAAATAAAAAGGCGTATATTTTTAAAATAATCGGAAAACATAAACCAATTTACCATAATGAGAATCTGCTGTCGGTATATTTGATTACAATATCCAAAGCGGTATTTTCTCTCGGTTACAACAAAATGGCGACAGATGTAAATGTACGAGTACGAGTACGAGTCAATGTCCGTTGCTAGGGGTGGAAGCTTTCAATTTTAATACTTGATAAAACTTCAAAATTGGATGTGAAAAATATTTATTTTATATTTAAAAATAACTGTTATGAATAACCATATTTATAAATCCTGTAGACAAAATAAGAGATGGTTTTCAAGGTAACGTATGAAAAACAAACATATAAGGCTAGAATATTCTATTATTTTTGTAGGGGTGATTTCAAAAGTTAATGCCGAGACATTTTAATTTTTGTACGGCACCTAAATATTAGGCAATTTATAGGGATATACTATTCTCCGGTCCGGTCGCTTCCGGCCCGGGGTCTCTCCAGGTCTACTAAATGCAAATAACAAATTAAATGAAATGTTTCAATGTTGATTGTGTAATATTAATATCTCTAATATCTGGAACATACGATTATAGTACATCCCAGCTAATATCTTAAAATTTTGATTTTGTGAAAACACTGCGTTTTACTATAGCAATCCGGTCAACTCGTCCCCTGGTCAACTCGTCTGGTCAACTCGTCCCCTACTTTTGGTCAACTCGTCCTCAAAGAGTCAACTCGTCCCTAATATTGTCAACTCGTCCCCTACTTTCGATCTATTCGTCACTATTATGTTGTTAACCAATGTCTTTAAATAGTTCTTTTTATGTAAAATTTGATATCAAAATATTAATAAAATAACGTCTTTTTTAACGTAAAATTTTAATGATCTTTATCTAAGCGCACGTGCATATATAGCTTTGATGTAAAACTACAAAGACAGGTAAGTTTGCAAACATTCAATTAATGTTTAATCTATCGGATTTTTATATAAACCCCAAGAGTCGTAAGATGTCAAAAAAAAAAAAGACAATGAAATATGTGCATGCAAAAAACAATGAAGTGAAAGTGAATATATATGACATAATATTGACAAAAAAGACATACTATATGATATTTTATCATTGCATATGAAACATGTTTTTATACAGTAAATGTTGTTGCTATTTATTGTCTTCGTGTTGTTTTTTTTTCTGTATGTAATTTAATCAGAATTATGCATATATATACTTATTATTAGATAAAAAAAACTCCAAATACTCGCATACAAAAAGCGTCAAAATATGTCCAATTCAGTCATTTTATAATATATTTTAACAGTCTATAATAATTTATGGAATATATGAAAAACAAATAATAATGAAATATAGGGGACGAGTTGACCAGGGGACGAGTTGTCCAAGGGACGAGTTGACCAAAAAGGTGACGAGTTGACGAGAGGACGAGTTGACCAGGGCACGAGTTGACTCTGAATCTTACTATATATCCTATGATTGTCTGCACAAGCGTCTGCTTTTTAAGCGTCTTAGCCAATATTTGGGCGTCAATTAAATATTGCCAGCCCTTTCCGTCAGTCTTCGGATAATATTACGAATATTAAGACAGACGGACGGACATCTTTATTCCACCAAGCACATTTGTACGTACACTATGAGGTTTTTCTAATATGATGAATATATACTAGTAATACATTTTTGTGCCCCCACTTTAGTGGCGGGAATTTAGATTTCCCCTTGTCCGTCTGTCCGTCCATCCGTCCGTCTGTCAGGACGAACATTTTGGGTTAAGGGGCTGTATAACAGTAAAGAGAACAATAGGTTCATTCCGTGATCAAAGGGTTTAGGGGCTAGTAGCCCTTAAGAAAACAAAGAAAATAACAAAGAAAATAACCCCTAAAGCAAAAAAGTTGGAACGTCCGTCCGTTCTCTTTTGTGTCGCCCGTAACTCAAAAAAGTATTTGACCTAGAGTCATGAAACTTTTCAGGAATGTTGATCAGCATGTGTAGTTGTGCACCTGGGTATTTTCGTCTGGTTTTTTTAAAGTATTTTTAGAGTTATTGCCCTTGACTTAGTAAAATTTTGCAATTTTCAACTTGTGTCGCATGTAACTTAAAAAGTATTAAAATTTTGACCTAGAGTCATGAAACTTTACAGAAATGTTGATCAGCATGTGTAGTTGTGCACCTGGGTATTTTCGTCTGAATTTATTTAGTATTTTTGCGACGGACGCGCCCTCAGGCGCGTTCAGAGCTAAGTCATCTACACATGGGATTTCGTCTGCTACAATCGCGCAGTGTCCTCAACCGAATAACAGCCCATGAAATAGTACATGAATTTGATCCTTTAAAACTCACATACTTTGTCGGGATATCTTAAAATCTTCCATATTTAGCCTTTTCAATTTCAAATTAAGTTATCCTAGTTAAAATATGAACGTATTTGATTGATACAAACGTTGTAGTCCCGTAGTATTATTGCGCAATACGCAAATTACTGCCGAAACGATTTACAGCTGTCGAAAAAGTAGGACAGCAAATTATACTATAATAAAGGTGTAAGCTCTGAGTTCCAAGAAATTATTAGTAGGAAATAAATATTTCTACATTATACAAAACATTATTATTAACAAATCAAAAGTTTTTCGTGACTCTAGAATAACTCGCGCATTAATAAAAGAAGAACTATTTTCGTGACTCATACCGCGTGTTTAGCTGAATATTCAGCAGTTATTAATAAATTAGATACAGTATAATGGTTAGTATAATTATCTATTTTTGAAAATGCATGTAACAAGAGAGTTTTTTCAACACTTTACTACCATGTAGTCTTTCATGGTAATCTTTATTGAAGGAAGTTATAATATCAGTTCTACTTCCGATTCTTGTGGTTTGTTTACATATTTTTCTAGGTCACGATATGAGTTAACATTCGCTATTCTAAAAATAGATTATGCTTCACCTGCAGGCGATTAGGGAGTACATGTAATAAACCAGCGGATACTTACTTTGCTTACATGCAATACTTACAATTGTAAGAAGCAAACAAGTTGAAAATGGAATTTAGTGTGAAATTGAAAAGGACAGCTTAAGTGACATTTAAATTAAAATAAAAACGATGTGCTCTGGCCTCTACATATTTACCTTATAAATAAAAAAATCTAAAAAATACACTTTTAATTGCTGATGATTTTAACCAAAAATATTTTTAATGAGACATATCCAAGAGAAATAAAAATACAAATGACTTATATTTTATTTTCTATATGCCCACTATGATATAACACGAAGCAATTCTAAATAACATTATCAAATGTATAATGTACTTATGCTTGAAGTTAATTTGCATGGTTTTATTTTAGAAATATTTCGTTGACAGTTTTTTTTCTATTTACATATCATTCCTTGGAATAATTTAAATCGATAAGGACACTGATTTACAAGTTTGACCAGAGTTTTTAGGCATAAATTTCATTCTGTATAAGTAGAAAATCTGTATTATATCAGATTGGGACACATAAAATATATTGCTCTACAAATCTCGAACTTGTATGGAACAAATTTTCTCTGTTATATCTTTTGTGTTTTGTTTTTGTTTTTTTTCTAAAAAAAAAGCCTTAATGTCTCTCCGGTTGCATGTCCGTCGCATTCAGTGCTGCAGCACTTTGATTAGAGTTATTGCCTTTGACTTAGTAAAATCTTGCAATTTTCAACTTGTGTCGCATTTAACTTAAAAAGGATTTGACATAGAGTCATGAAACTTTACAGGAATATTGACCAGCATGTGTAGTTGTGCACCTGGGTATTTTCGTCCGGATTTATTTAGTATTTTTATAGTTATTGCCCTTGACTTAGAACATTTTTGCAATTTTCAACTTGTGTCGCATGTAACTCAAAAAGGATTTGACATAGAGTCATCAAACTTTACGGGAAGCTTGCTCAGCATATTTAGTTTTACACCCATGGTTTCGCTTATTTCCTTTGACTTAGTTAAAACCGTTTCATTATATTGTTATTTGTTCCTTGAGTGCTTGAGTTATAATCAACCAACTTTACAGGAATAATGATCAACATCACTAAATTACAGGAATAATGATTCACATCACTGTGAAGCTATGAACCTGGGACTTTGCATGTGGATTTTTTCAGTTTTGTTAGAGTTATTGCCCTTGACTTACAGTAGTATAAATTTGCAATTTTCAACTTATTCATGCCTAGCTCAAAACGTATTTCACTTGTAGGCATGAAAGTTTACAAGAATGTTGGTCAGCATGTGTACTTATGCACCTTGGGATTTGCTTGTGGATTTATTCAGTATTTGTAAAGTTCTTGCCATTTACTTAGTATAAGATTTTTAGTTTTCAAAAAAATATTTGACCTAGAGTCATAAGATTGACAGAACAGTGGCGCGTTGGGGGCACCCGTGTTCTATGGACACATCTCTAGTTTTTTCGTGTAAACTTACATAATTTTACGCAATCTTTTTTATATGAACAATATGATTAGACGACGCGTGTACGCGCCGTCTAGTAGATATGCATTTGTTCATATAACTGTAATAGTGCCGGTTTATTATCAGTGGTTCAAGCTGATTTGAGCCCAACACTCAGTGGCGCTCTTGACAGACTTAAAATATAAATGGCCAAATTACAATACGGACGACACGTGATCACAAATATATCTTTAAACGGCACTTTACCCAGGTTCTCTGAACTCTTAATTGCCAACCAGTGGCTAGGATGGTGGTGTAGGACGCTACCTTTAATTTACTCTTATTAAGAAAGTATAACACAAGACTTTATAAATTTAACATTACGAGATTTATTCAAACGATAATCATAGACTTATTTAAACGACAATCGTATAATTTATTTACCAAAAGTATGAATAAGACTATATATTTAAGCAGAATCTACCAACAACTAGTTATTTATTTAAAAAGAATTCCTAAGTATTTATTAATAAGTTTTGCCTAAATTCTCAAATCATATAGATTTCAAAGAGAGTCAAAACTATTAAGTTTTGAAGAGTGCCAAAGCTCTAAAGCTTTGAAGTGAACTGACCTGTCGGCCAGCTCCCAAGACAAGATACATAGAAATTCACCCGGTATTTATACACTTTTGGTAGTCATGACAATGCTTAACTATAAGATTGATTGGTCAAAATTACTCATAACAAGTTCTGAACTAATCGAATGATTTCAATCAAGTCGACCAATGAAAAATATAGAATTAAACCGAAAGCACCAATCAAATTAACTCTAACAAATAAGGTACGGAAAATAAGCGAAAAGGGCAATAAAAACTGAGAACGTTTACTAAAATGCAGCCCTATTACATTCCTCCTTCCTTAAAAAAACAAGAAATCCTGTACAATTTGAAAAAGTAATTCTTTTTTTTTTTCATAAAAGCGAGAATCCCACTTACTTTAGAAACTATCAAATTTTGAAACAAAAAATTAATTTGGAAACACGTAAAACTACAAAAGTACGTCCATCATAAATATACATTGTCAAAACACAATGTCAACATACGCTAAAATGAAACATCAAATATAATAAACATAATTAGTCCGTCAAACAAAACATTACACTATTTCAATGTTTTTATTATATATACACTGTAGATCCTGCTAGTTAATTAAATGTCTTTCTGTAGACCATTCAGGAATCGAACAGGTATTACATCGTAGCTGACGGAGTATGGATGTCCATGATGTTCCACAAATCCAAGCATACAGTGTTTGTGTTGGATAATCAACCTCATTTACATATGCATGAAGTCTGAAAAATTAAACAAAAATTAACATTTGTTTTAAAAACAAAACAAAAAACAAATTGTATAATAATCAATGACAATCCTTCAGATGTACTATGTTGAAAGTGTACTTAAACAGAATAAATAAAAGTATTTGTATTCTATTCACTTTCAATAAGATTTTACAAACACAATGATTTATAAAACTTTTAACAAAATCAAATTATGTTTATGTGTATCAACACATTATGCAATGCATACAACTGTGCATTTCATTAATTAAAGTAAAATGATGTATATCATATTCATCTCCTTTTACCCACAAATGAGAAAGTACTAATTATCTTTATCTAGCAAAACTTGATACAAGCTCTAAAAGACTACATAACTTAAACCTTGTATTTTTCCTTACAATCCATTTTGTACATAAGTCTAAATCTGGGATATAGATTATCCTGTTAAAGTGATATTTTACTCTTTTTAGCCATGTCATCAGTTCTTGCATATTTATCTTTGTCTTGATTTGCAATTGCTTGGTTCTCTCAAAGATTGAATAAGACTGATGGCTTAAAGTAGGGTTTAAATCTAATAATCCCAAGGATTTCGTTTCATTTGTCACAAATGCATATGTATGCATGTTTGTACCATTATCGTCTTTATCAACAAACCAGTACTTGTGCGTTGGACTTAACACACTCATGTTACTATGATTTAAGTTGTTTAAGTATGCTTCTTTCCTAGGAAGTAAGTCGGTGAACTGTACCATTGTACATATTCTAGTATTGAAGTTATGAATTCTTACTTTTCCTAATCTTGTTTTTAGCATACGTTTATATATTTGAAGACTTGCATTATAATTCTCAAAGAAATCAATGCCTAATATGCCAATTTTCTCTTCTATGTCAGCTACAACAAATACGAAAGAGAAAGAAATATGCTCTATTTCAAAGTTTAATACACATTTCCCGGCAGTTTGTAATTTTGCTCCATTAGCAGTAGACAAATGCATATTAGTAAAGACTAAATTGGGTTTGTTTTGAAGCCTTTTATAACATGAACTTGACAAAATAGAAACTGGGCTTCCAGTATCAATTAGCATCCCTCCTTTAAGAGAACCTAAATCTACTTTTGCATAATAACAAGAAGTTTTGTCAACATTTTTAAGTTCTGAAACTAATTCACTTTTCCCAGAGTTATTTTTGATTAAGTTTTGGTCTGAAATGACAGATTTTTGACAACTTTCAGTTTTGAAAGCTAAAGGTCTACTTTCACTTTCGTTTTGAGAACGATATACTTTATGACCCATAACTTCCGGTTTGGGTTGTACTACTTCTTGACCCTCAATTTTACTAGGAATTTCTAAAGAAACAAGCTTTTGGTCATTTTTAACATCATTTGGAGGGGGTGTAACTATAATTTCTGGAATACACTGTTTATTAGATTTGTTTTTATAATTCAAATTTGAACTATACGTCATTTCAGGCAAAGAAACTTTGGTAAGAATGTTATCTACCTTAGATTGAGACGAAGTACAAACAAGTGTACGAGGTTCACTATTAATATGTACATTTTGAAATTCTATAGGCCTAACCAATTGAGAACTGACTGACGTTTTGGCCTCAACCTCAGTCTGACCTAGTTTCCCTGATTCAAAGCATTTCTTTTAGCATAACAACGGCTCTCAATGTGACCTTTTTTATGACAGTAAGTACACTGTATGTCTTTAAAGTTAGGTTTCTCATAAAAAGAATTTCCCTGTGTCATATTTTGATGATTTCTAGACTGGGAGTTATAATTGGTGTTTGTAGTAGAACCATATTTATGATTTACACCTTGGTAGTGGGGGTACGCGTTACCATAGTTACGCATAGGGCTATTACTGCGTCTCATTGAAGGCCTATCAATACCAGTGTTTTGATAAAATCTCGAGGAATTATTTGGCCTAAATTGAGTTCCATATGTTTTCTTGTTGTAAGAATCAGTCATTTCTTGAAATTTTTGCTCAAACTTTTGATAAAAAAGAGAAGACATCATTTGCTTTAATTCGTCTAAACTACAATCAGTCTTTAAATTTGTAGGTCTAAGGGACGCAACTGATGTTGACGAAATAGCATTCAATGGACGAGTTAACTCCCTTTCATCATCTAATGGTTTTGTCATTTTATCTACCGAACCCTGTAATGACATAAAGTCTACGGCAGCACTAATTGCGTGATCCAAAGTAATAGGATGTGTAAATTGTACGTGCTTTCTTAATTCAAAAGGACCTAATCCATGAATATATTGGTCAATAATACATGTTTCTAAAGCATCACTGTGCATTAAAGGAAATGCTTTTTGAGCTAATCTGCGTAGTGCATAACCATAGTCCGAAACGGATTCACCCTTGCTTCTCTTCCGATTACGGAATTCACAGCGAAAGGCAACTTCACGTTCATGTGGACTAAATCTTTGCGTTAGCACACGTTTAATTTCCGAATAACTTGCAAGTTGAGAAGGGTGTAATGTAGACAGTAATCGCTGTGCTTCCCCCCGCAAATTAATTGTTAACATGCATGCTTTTTGTTGATCATCCCAACTATTCCAGTTGGCTACTTGCTCAAAATGAATAATATAATCGGACCATTCACTAGTAGTACCATCGAAATGATCGGGACTTATATTCATAACCGAAGATGGCCGAGTATTTGTAATACCCGAGTGCATAGTGTTAATCGGAGCACTATAAGTTCTAGGCATAAATGCGTTTCCTCGAGATAAATTACTCGGAAAACCTACACTTTGCGAATAATGGTTCGATAAAGTATGAGGCACTGGTGTCTGGCATGTATTAACCATAACCGGTGACGTAACGCTACTAATGTTACGCTTTGTCACTAAAGAGGGTGAACTCTTCATATAGCTATAATGTCTAACTGTTACATTAGGAACAGTATAATCAGTTTTTAAAGGGGAAAGCACTGGCTTTTTATCAAAATCAGTCCCTTTAACCCCCGGGATAGACGTATCTAAGTCATCTCGAGCACTTCCTGTATACAAGGGTAAGCTATGACTATCACCAATACGTAATAATCCTTCATTTGTATCACCCCGAACAGTAGGGGAGTGTGAACTAAATCTTACTTTCGGAGTACTAAACTCTTGTCTAAAAGTAGGGGAACCAAGAAATGAATCAGACCCATAAGAAGTATTATGGAAAATTTCCCTATACCTAGGTGAAGAATGCGTGTTAACTTGTCCTTCCGTTTCATGAAAAGACCTTATATCGGGAGTACATGTAGGCGTGTTTAAAGTTAAAGTTCTCGTGCGTGACGTATTCTGAGCATCGAACCCCGAAGTATCTATCACACGGTACTGACCATATCTACTTTCTGAATTATATATCGGTAAATTTCCCTCAGCCATACTTAAATGATAACACTTATAAGTAAAACAAAATGATTTTATATCTTAGTTGTACTTCAACTTTTAACCATAGAAAGACGTAATTTAAAGTTAAATCACATTAATTCAAAATTTGTTATATTATTGTTCATACAATTTAAATAGTTAAACTTTAACAACAAACAGACCTTTATGATACTCTTACTTAGAGCTTTTTTTTTTTTTTTAACACAATATTTTTACAAGTGGTCTTGGATAAAGTTTTGACAACTTAGTATAACTATATGTTTATATTTTATAATTAATCCTATAGAATTAAATTTACTTTTGTTTTTAAATTTTATAGTAAACCCTTAAATGTTTCTATTTTAATTTATCTAATATCCTATTTACAGGAGCGTCCACCTAAATTCACATTTACTTTACTTTATATTTCCAATTTTATTTATGTTTATAATCAATACATTATTTTATACACCACCAACCTATAACCGGTTTAAACGCATATACACACCTCGCGCTATACACCTAGCAATATTTACTCGATTAACCGTTACGTGAAAAATACCACACGACTTATCGTGCGTAAAGTAGAATTTAGCAGACGATATACTAACGTAATACACTAGAAAAATGAGTATTTTATATATATGAATCCGAATAAGTACTGTATTTTTAAAATATAACCAAACTTTACATAGCTCTATGTAAATTCCCTATGCCGTTACAAAAACAGCCAAAAAATTAAATAAAATACTAGACGTACGCCAAAACAAATCTCAATATAAAAGCTCTACGTTATACAAAAATCAAAAATTCAGCTGTTACAGCAAAAATTAATAGTTGATTTACAAACAATTGAAAAGTCCAGTGGTCACGGCACCAATGTAATAGTGGTGCGTTATAGACAATTAAAAATCCAATGGTCACGGCACCAATGTAATAGTGCCGGTTTATTATCAGTGGTTCAAGCTGATTTGAGCCCAACACTCAGTGGCGCTCTGGACAGACTTAAAATATAAATGGCCTAATTACTATGCGGACGACACGTGATCACAAATATCTCTTTAAACGGCACTTTACCCAGGTTCTCTGAACTCTTAATTGCCAACCAGTGGCTAGGATGGTGGTGTAGGACGCTACCTTTAATTTACTCTTATTAAGAAAGTATAACACAAGACTTTATAAATTTAACATTACGAGATTTATTCAAACGATAATCATAGACTTATTTAAACGACAATCGTATAATTTATTTACCAAAAGTACGAATAAGACTATATATTTAAGCAGAATCTACCAAACAACTAGTTATTTATTTAAAAAGAATTCCTAAGTATTTATTAATAAGTTTTGCCTAAATTCTCAAATCATATAGATTTCAAAGAGAGTCAAAACTATTAAGTTTTGAAGAGTGCCAAAGCTCTAAAGCTTTGAAGTGAACTGACCTGTCGGCCAGCTCCCAAGACAAGATATATAGAAATTCACCCGGTATTTATACACTTTTGGTAGTCATGACAATGCTTAACTATAAGATTGATTGGTCAAAATTACTCATAACAAGTTCTGAACTAATCGAATTATTTAACAAATTAATCAATCTTATAATGAAAAATTTTTTTCTTATACGTTGTGGTTTCAAATTTTCTATATAATAAATAGCTTTTCAAGATACCAACATGTCAAGTACGGAAAAATAAGCGGGAAAGGGCAATAAAAACTGAGAACGTCTATAAGTCCCAATCGGGTTCTAGTCTAAGAAGGGGAAAAAAAATTTCGAAGGGGAAAAAGATGGGATCATTAAAAGACAGCAACCCGGGGAAATTTTTTTGGCCCATACGGAACGCAGGGAAAAAAATTTTTTGTTTAAAAAAAATTTTAAATTAAAAGAAATAATTTAAAAGAATTTATGAAAAATAATTTAAAAACTTTTAAATTATTAAAAAAAAGATTAACTGATTGAAAAAGTTTCGTTTTTTTTAAAATTTTACAAATATTTGCAAAAAGGTTATTTGAAAATTTTACCTAAAATTTTTTTTCTACATTTTGTGGCTATTAAAACCCAGAAATTCCCATGCGAATAACAAACCAAAAGTTTTATCAATAATTTAAAACTTTTATAAATAAGAAAACAAAAAGAAACTAAAAATTTTATTATATATAAAATAAAATTTTATTTATAACTATTATTTGATTACAGGGAAGTTTTGGCTTTTTTGTTTAAAAAAAAAGACATTCGTCCTCAAAAATTTCTTTCGAGCGAAACAATTATGCAATTTCGGCCCCAAATATTTTAAATGGACATATTCCTCGGCACATTATTGTTCTTAATTCATTTTTTAAGTTACCAGTCATTTCAATTTTTCTTTAATTTATGTTGCGTTTCGATCATTTGTCGCAACAGACAAACATTTTCAACTTTTCAACACAATAAAAGAACATGGAGAAAAAAATAAATTATGCTTTCAAATAAACAACTAAAAGAGAAGGATTTTTTTATTCAGATTTTGTTAACATTACCTGTGAAACGTTTCAATCAATTATTGGCGCCTTTTGATATGCAACATAAACATTTAACTTGTTAAATTATTAATAAATAATACGGTAACAACTCCGTCATGGGCCGGTCCCAAAATCCCGGATGAAAAATGGAGGAAAGGTTGGGCATGGGGTTTTGCACCCCCCTCCCCGGGAAAAAAACCAACACCCACAGAAAAAAATTGACGATTTAAAACAACAGACACAAAAACCCCAGAAGAAGGGAAAATTTTTAACGAAAATAAATATTTTCCGAAATTCCCCTTTTTCCAAACCCGGGAAAATTTACAAAAATTTGGGTTTGGGGAAAAGTCAGAAAAAATGTACGAGAAAAAGGGAAAAGTAGCAAAAGATAAACAGCTTTAGAAAGCCCCCCGCAAAATACCCAACTTACCCTTCTTGAACTTTTTGGGGACAAAATGGACCCAAAAACTGGACACAACGACTGATTACAGGTTTTAAAACCCATCCTGTATTAGGAAAATGAGGGAAAATTTTGGCCCCCACCACTCAAGGGTGCACCATGCTAGGAAAAAAAGCACAGAAAGCA